CGCATGTATTGATAATAGAACCTCATTGTCGTAATCCACGAGATTGTCCAAAAGCAAAAGCTTAACAATACAACTACAGAAAGAGAGGTGAAGGAATAATGATAGATAGTCCTTGGAGATGGTGAGTGAGTAACACAGAGAGAGCAATATAGAGTCAGGCCTCAAATGTATGCCAGTGCATGCATCAACCAATCCCCTCCACCTCTCCCCCTTCTCCTGGCCAGGAGCTGTTTACCTCTCTATCAGCGGTGCTCTCTAAAAGCAGGGACCCCATCCATATTCACCGGCCTCAAATTCCTCTGCTTATCTCCCCCCAACCCTTGAAAAACCTCCCCGTGTTCCCCTCTGCACATACATACATACATAAACACGTCTTTATGGAGGCAAGAGGCAAACGCGCTGGGCTAGGAGGGGGTCGGGATAAGAATCACCTTGAATTCAAAGCAGAGGATTGTGGGTCCTCGGCGGGCGGATGGACAGACAGCCACACGGGCTAAGGCTCAGGCCGCTGTGACACACAAACCATCAGACAGGTAGAGGGGGGCTTTAGGGGATGGCAGTTGATGTGTGCACCAAGGGCCATTGGCATTTCAGGGGATTTGTAAAAGTGAGGTGTGATGCTTATGAAATGTTGGGATGTTTGATGATATGCCTCATTAGGGGGCAGGTGCATGTAAGTACGGGTTGTGTTTGAGTGTCAGTTGCTTCAACCTTGTGGAGTATAGATGATGTCATATCAGAGAAATCAACTGCATTTTTTAAAAAGATTTTGTGGATTTGTCATAAAGTGACTCCAAATAACTCGAGAAATATCTTCAGATGTTATTGAGAATCTAATTGGATTAGCTGTTATTCCCAACATGGTGATTTGCATGAAGTGGACAAATCACTTGTGTTGGTGGCTGCTTTGAAAATGGGAGCAGGAGCCTGGCTGATAAGAGTTGACAGTGTAAGTGAGGGCTCAAAGAGTGCTTGAGCAGAAGCAGAGACACATGGAGTACAGGGGGGGACCGGTGCCCCATTCCTCTGCAAGCTGCGTTGTTTGGGGATTGAAGTTGGGAACTCTCTCCACTACTAATTGCGCGCTGGTGCCATTCATGAATATTCATTCTGGCGTGTTCAGACCCCGCCTAATTAGCCGAGAGATAGAGGAAGAAACTCGCACCTTTTACCACAAGAGAAGCGTTTCCCCCCGTCGCATTCTCAGGGGGATGCTGGCAGAATAGCCCAAGTTCATTAGCCAAAAAAGAAAGAGAAAAAGTTACCTGAAAAGCACGGGACGATTTGGTCTTCAAAATGGATGGGCAAACAAGGTTTTTTTTTTTTTTTTGCTAGTGCATATTTAGTGCCTATTACGCATGTCTATCAAAAAAAAGAGAAAAACTGGAAACGAAATACAATTATCTGATTGAGTGAGTTGGTGGATATTATTCTACTCGCTGTAGTTGGGGGGAACATCACATGAATTTTAAAATCTAAACATAGCTTGTGGCAGGTCGAAATGTTCCCCATGGAATTGAGGAAGACATGTATTTAACATCTAATATGAGGCCGAGGCTGTTTTAAGAGAGTGTTATTTCAGGTATACCTGTGGAAATAAAACTAGATCATTAGCTTTAACTTTATTTCGAAATGTAATGTTAGCACATGTATAGCCTTGGGATGAGGACTTAAATAACCTGCTGTAACTTTTTCGAATAGAAAAACGATTATTTACAATTGAGTTTGGATTTGTTTGTGATTAATAACAATGTTTTTATTTCTTTGTTAATTTATATTTAGCATCTAATTTAAGAGTGCCGATAATGCAGTGACGTTACTCCACAATGCTCCTCTTAACTATTTGTCATGGGTCATTTTATACATTATTATTTACATCCCTATTGCTCTGTTATCCCTTCAGAAAGAGAGAAAGTTGTTTAATTGAAGGGTCACGGGGTCCTATTGGTTGAGGTGCGTCCTGACAATAACTGCTGCATATTAAGTAGACTGGGGAAAAGATTAACACGTGGCTTACTGGGAAAAGAAAACCTCCTCCACGCTAGTAAATAATGCTCTGAATGTCAGTACGGAAATACAGTTACTGCATTTAGTTAAACATCCTTTCCAAAAATAAATTGATTTATATAAAGTCCTGCCCATGTTAATTCTTTACAGATATTAAGTTTGAATGTATTTCAAGTTCTTGCATGTTTACGTTTTGACAAGACAGCACAGGAAAATACTCGCGAGAGAGTGAAGCATAAATCAGAGAATTGTGTTTTCAGGGTGATACAAAGAAGACTTGTGCACACACTTATTTCTGGTAATGGTGTCCCCCCAAACTTCCTGCACACTCATCTCTCTGCGGGTCACTCTGAGTGTGCCTCGAGACTTTTTTTTCATTGCATTTTTTTAAATCCATCATATCGTGTTCATTTCCAGCCGCTTTTCCTGTACGGCGTGTCATTCACCACTAAGTTCTGTGTGATCCCTTTCATCGAGCGCACCATGGAAACCTAGTGAGTCCTGGCAAAAATGCACCTCAGCGCACACAAGGCCATATTCTTTACAAAAGGGCCAACGCATCTGGATCCTTCTTTTCCAGCAGCTCCTCGCTGGCATGGCGAAAGCACAAGACTGGGTCTGTGTGGCAGAAACCACTGCTTTTTATAGACTGGGAGACAAGAATGACTGAATGGCAAACGCATCTTCATTAACTGACAGCATGGAGCTCGGGTCCCTCATAGCAGTGACACACTGAGGTCTCTCAGGAGTTTACACTGACGATAAGACATGCTCTGGCTTGCATTTCACAATAACGAGTCGCGTTAGAGATGCATTGTGCATCATTGTCTTATACTTGTTTACATTTTATATGATTTTCCCGAATATATTCTATAAAATATAAATAACAATAAATAATGCTCAGTTCAATACATATGTCTATTGGTACGTTTTTTATATTTAAACCAATTGTTAGATGTTATATTATGCAGTTTAACTATGCATGTAATTGTTAGAATGTATTTATTTTTTTGCAAAATGTTACATTTAATAATAGGAAGCGTTTCTTAAATTGAGATATAATACACATACTGCCAATAAAACGTGCACTGCAGTGAAAAAAATCTTCATATCATCTTAAAATCTGACTTTGTTACAAATTAATTGCCCTAAAATGACACGCCGATAACTCGCAGAGATTGTCTTCCACTCATCTCAAATATATATATATATAAAGGATGGGTGGACAAAAACCACGCCTTTCAAAAGATGATGACGAGCACCTGTGACCCCGACAACATTTTCCACACACACACACACACACACTCACGCGCTCACACACACACACGCCTCATTGTTACCGCTGAAGACAAGAGTATAGGCAACAGCAAGGACGCGGTCACAGCAGAAAGAAGACAACTTACCTTTTAGTCTTGTAGTCCCGGATTAAAATGAACATGAATTGAGTCGTCCTGTAAATAGACACAGAATAGTCGCAAGGGGAAGATGACAACAAACAAACACGCGGCAGAGATAAAAAGGCAAAACATTGCTTTCAGGTAAATGATTAAAATGGGACTGTTGCGCCTGAAAACCCTTCCAAAAAGCTCCTGTTTTAGAAGGAGAGGAACATGTGCCTGATTGCAGAGTTTTAGGCGAATGGAACGGGAGAGATGTAAGATTTGTTTAAAGCCCCGCATTTCCATTTAAGAACGTGATTGTGTTTGCAAAGATCCCTTTCAATCTTCGCATCTCCCCCCCTCTCTCTACCCCTCAGCGTCTCTGAGGCTGCTTTGCAATTCATAGAATTGGTAATTTGCTATTGGGACAAAACGTGAAGGGAAAAATAATCAGATCAACCGGGAGAGGTAGTGAGGAAGGAGCCAGGAGGAAGAAACACAAGGTTTCTCTCTCCAAGTTGCTGCTTAGTAAAATGCTTCAAGAGGTAAATTATATACAAAGTATAGCCTATATTTTATTTCTTAAATCGGTTCAATCTAAATGTCCAGGGAAAACCCAAAACTGCTGCAGCAGCTTGGCAGTGAGGATAAATGTCATATACAAAATAAATCAGACTGTTGTTTGATACATTATGAATGATTATGATCAGATATGGTAAACCTTGATAACGTATAGGCTACATGATTTCAAAATAGGATACTGAATAAATAAATGGTGTATAATATCTGTCACCTGCTCTATGTGCGTGTGTGTGCAGGGGTGCATTTAGAGCCTATCATAACTAAGTGGGAGGTGATGATGAGATCATACAACATTGAAAATTACCGAGACAATACAAATAAATGACATACGCGGAGGCTTTGAAATAGAGCAAATGCTTTTCAAATTTGTCACACATTTACATGAGCCTTCACAGACATCTCATGGCGCTTATTTACACGCCTCTCGTTGTGTGGGTGGCTGCAGAGCCGGAGCATCGCGCCTTATAATCTATTTAAAATGAGGAGCGCTATAATCATCAGTGACCTATTATAAAGGTGCACGGGTGCGTGTGTGTAAGTGCATGTGTGTATGTTGGAGGGGGAGCAAGCGTTCAAAAAGATCACCGTACTCCCCCACGTGGTTATTTGCAAAACAACCCATCTAAACCCGGGGAAACCTAATCAAACCCCGCTGCTGCAGCCCTTCTTTGGAGAGAATAGGAGGGAAAAAGTAACTGATATACGGGAGGATATCTGTGCCCAGGTATACAAAATGAGATGAGAACAGTTAAAAACTCAAAGAGACATTTAATAAATAGAACATGTGTTTTTCTATAACATATGTAAGATCGGCGCTCTATCCATCCTGAGCGAAAAATGCGCTGTACCATGCTCTGAAACCCTGCGCCTATTGAATATGTCCCTAGTGGGCTTGAATCGGAGAGGAGCCAATACAAGCAGAAGGGAGGCGTGTCTTCGCTCTTCCCCAAGACCTCCCAGAGCAGGTTGTTGCGTTTTGGCTCTAAAGCCTGGAGACCTCCGAAGTGCTCGTCAGTTTTCGAAGTAGGAGCCATGGCGACAACAGCTCAGTATATTCCGAGGAATAACTCCTTACCGTCCAACCCGCTCATGCATCCGGATTCGGATAGGATGCATCAGGGGACGACCTACAGAGAGGTGCAGAAAATGATGCACCACGAGTACTTGCAAGGGCTAGCGGCTACCAACACGGGACACCCGATGAGCCTGACGCACCACCAGTGGCTGCCCACCTCCAACACCGACTGGTCCAGCGGCACCCACATCGGACAGCAGGAGCACAAAGCCACCGTGCAGACGAGGGAGGACCTGAGCAGCGGCTTCCACCACAGATCTCACCTGGTGCACCAGCAGACGCAGAGTGCCCACCATGGTTCGTGGGCACCCACCACAACGCACCACTTATCCCCGCTTCCCCCTGCATCCAACGGTCACCAGTCTCTGGTGTACTCGCAGCCTGGATACACAAACCTTAACGCCATGCTGAGTCCCCAGCCCGGCACCTTGCACCATGGCATGCGGGACACGCTCCACGACGACTCGGGCAGCCACGACAACCAGATGGAGTCGCCCCAGCAGGCGTTCAGCCATCACCAGGACCAGGACGAGGACGCGCCCAGCTCCGACGACCTGGAGCAGTTCGCCAAGCAGTTCAAGCAGCGGCGGATCAAACTGGGCTTTACGCAGGCAGACGTGGGCTTGGCCTTAGGCACCCTGTATGGAAACGTCTTTTCTCAGACCACAATCTGCAGGTTTGAGGCGCTGCAGCTCAGCTTCAAGAACATGTGCAAACTTAAGCCGCTCCTAAACAAGTGGCTGGAGGAGACAGACTCTAACACAGGCAGTCCCACCAATTTGGACAAGATTGCTGCGCAGGGCAGGAAAAGAAAGAAGAGGACCTCCATTGAAGTGGGGGTGAAAGGGGCGCTGGAAAATCATTTCTTAAAATGCCCAAAGCCGTCAGCTCATGAAATCACCAGTTTGGCCAACTCTCTGCAGTTGGAAAAAGAGGTTGTGCGCGTTTGGTTTTGCAACAGAAGACAAAAAGAGAAAAGAATGACACCAATTGGGATCCCTCACCCGAATATGGAGGACGTATATTCCCAAGCAGAGACCCCTCCTCTACACCGCACACTACAGAGTCCTGTACAGTGACTATTTTCATGAACAATCCGATAATAACCGCGGGGGGATAGGAAAGGGACTATGGAGTTTACAGTATTTAAGTTTGGCTTTTGTTTTCCTGAGAGAAAAGAGACATGGAAAAGTTGAACAGATGAGTTTTGTCCTTAGTATTCGGAGATCGTCATGTCCAACAAATAGATGGCAAGAGTGAAAATGTTAAGAAGAAAAAAAAATCAAGAAAAAAAGACAAAAAAATATTCGCTATACTGATTCCGTGCGTATTTAAAGTGAAACAAAGATCTTTATTTACCAAATTATATGGAGGAGAAGGCATATAAAGTAAATTTGATATCCCATGGCTGTTTCAAATGGGGATTAATTTAATGTGGCAACTGAGGCCATCTCCTCCTGGTGTTACATGAACTGTTGGCGCTCACCAGAATGAGGTGGTTGCCTGAAAAGGATCAACACTGGAGACGAATAGCCAACACTGAATGAACATTTTGCTTTTGCAGGCTTAAACTGATTAACCAGATTTCTGAATATTAGTGTATACTTTCTTTGTTATATTAAGTGTGATGTTTTGGTTTGGAAATACTTTAACTTCAGTGTCTCTCTTTCTGCAGACTGTCTATGATTTCGTTCATTATTTTTTACTATAGGTACTGTAACTCATCAGAGCAGCCTCTATTTTTTCTGTTTACTCAGTGGGAGTTGATGGTGGAAAAGTGATGGAAATTAGGCATCCGAAAAAAATCATAATTAAGGTCAAACATATTTCAGAAAAATGTCCAATGCAACAGGACGTTTAAGTTCTGACTGCATGCCTTAAAAAAAATATTTAAAGCTTTGCAGCTGACCGTCGAAATTTGCAAACAGCACCAGACGCTAAAAGGGGAATTCTTAAATTTTATTTTATTTGGGGGGGTGGGGGGAGGTTGATTGTTTTCAAATTATTGTTTTCTTTGCATGGAGCACTTATTCTTTCGTTGATATTATTATTGCGATTTTATATTTGTTAATAAAATTGTGAGTGGAGCAGATCTCCATAGGCTTAAACACAATAAATCCCATGTTTACAGGTTCCTGGTTATCACCACAGAGCGCTGTCAGCTCACACTGCTCACTGCCTGTTAATCCTGTTGTATTCCAAACATTTAAAGAGAGATTGGTCAAATACGAAATGAAAAGTAATAATAACTCAGGTAACTTCAGTGCCCCATGTCGGAATATCACGCCTGTACATGATTTATTTTGTTCCTCTGTGTTTTAGTTCTTTCAATCTGGTTACAACCACACCGTTTTCCTTTGTCCCCTAAATCCATTGTATTATATTAAAACGCTGGATTCGGAGAAAAAGAAAATAATAATTCCTTAAGGAGGAGCGATGAAGGGACTTAACTTTAGATATATTTATTTTTTTCTGACCTGAAAAGAAATCTTGCATTGTGTGTCATTTTCTCAAAGTTGGACCAGTCCAAAAGCCTACAGCAATGCTATTCAATACAGATGAGGGAAACGTTTTTTTTTTCAAGAAAAAATAATAATAGTAAAAAAAGATTTTAGAGAAAATGTTGCCAGGATTATTTCCGAAATGTAAATATGTCCAATATGTAAACTTGTATTTGTTCTGAGATATTGTTTTCTTTTTGTTTCTTTCCGGGCAGTTTTGTACACTTACTAATTCCAAGAAGATATTTTAATATGATTTCATTTATGAATCTGACCATTTATATATATATATTTATTTCTTAAACGTGTTTGGAGCTTTTTGTTTAGCTCTGTTAATGGTTATGTTGCAGTGGATTTCAGTATGTTTTTCCTTTTTGTTTACTACATTGGTTGTATGTTGATTGCTAAATGTAGACTGCAAAGTCACATTTATATTTATGTTATAGTAATATTTTATTACTTACATAAAACATATATACAAGAAATGGTCTTTTGTCTTCATTAAGATGCAAACCACTCGCCCTTTGTTGTTGTCTATTGTAGCACCACCAGGCAAACAAGATAAACATGATCATAAAGTTTAATGCTGTTCGGTGTGCGGAGCAGCTCGCCATGTGTTCAGTTAGCAGTGATTCGTTATGTAACAAGAGGTCGTTTCAATCAGAGGCTGTGTACATGTGCTGTTAAAGGGAGTAGACAACAGTATTTTACCTCAGGCATTCCCTGCTAAGTTCACACAGTATCTGACGTTGTTCACATCTTTGTGTAATAATCGCAGTATTAAATTGTGCAATATCAACACGGAATTATTGTCTGTTCATTGAGTGACGACTATCATTATTTTTATGATGATAATTATTATTAGTACTACTCTTAGGATGATTATTATTATTCTTATAAGTTGTAGGCCTAGTCTCTATGTTTATTTAGAGTAGTCTAAATAGGCCTCCCTCAATCATACTGAGCTGTTAGCCTTATATAAACCATCATCCCCTGTCATGTGTTAAGCGTTTAAAAGGCAAATTGTGACGAATCTTTGATCTGAGACAGAGGTGCCTGCAGGCAAAAAATCAGCCTCCTTTCCAAAGATAGAGAAAACACATTAAGCATCAACAAATAACGGCAGGCCCAGAAGTTTAATAACTGGAAGGACAGGCCAACATTTACAGGCAACATATATTAATGTTTTTAGCACCTAAATAGGCCTACATGTGAAAAATCTCTAAATCATATATGTAATGTTGTCCAAAAGTTGTCTCATATTATTACGGGCCAGAGCGGCTGTGCGCAATGTTTCTACATTTACATCCAAATATTAGAGCAGGATACAGTTTGGGTCCATGGAGAAATTCAACGGGGCGTTGCATTTTACATTTACGGTTTTATAGGCCTATATACTTTTTTAAATCATCGTGGAAAGTAAAACGCTGGAGAAACAAACTCTACATATTCGAAGATAATTTCTAGGGTTTGTTGAATAATTTAATCAGTATACATTAAGGATTTTTTAATTAATTATCTTAGACACGTTACATGGAACATATGATATACGGCTGGTTCCTCAGTGAAAGTGTCTCGTTATCTAATACAATGATAGCCAATACCAAGTTTGGAGTAGAATCCGCTTTCAAAAGAAAACTGGTTCAGATTTTGGAATTTGAAATGTACTCGACTATTATTCATTTTAATGCAATTTTTCAAAAACCATTAACGCCTAATATCCACGAATATTCTCCTTCATTTAGTGTTTTGCGATTATGTTTAGAGAGATGAAGTTGTGTGCCACGAGTACAATGTGTCATGCTTTGTAAGAACTATTTTTACAAAGTTACAACACAGAATATAGAGGCTTCCGACTTTTTGTAAATCAGGCCTTTTGTGCTTCTGGAAAACAAAAAGTCTTTGCACCGGCTGAGGTGGTCAAACTGTGAGGAGGCCAACATTAGGAAGCAAACAGTGTGAGAGAACAGCGGGGCACAGGCGCCCCCTGCTGGCAGTATCCCAGTACTGCACCATCAAACCTGTACCTGAAGGTTTGATTTAAATTCATATAATAACAACCGATATAACTATAACAAATTGTCTAATCATCATCATTTTACCTGTTGTTGTATGACCGTCTAAAACACAAACAACTCAAACATGCTTGACAAATAACTCCAACTGCTAAATTACTGTATTTATTGTGCAGGAGTTTACAACAGAGACTAAGTTGAGATCTACTTGTCAATTCAAATATCTAGCTAATGCATAAATATCATATGGAAACAGGTGTGCAACACTGCTGGAGGTAAACTGTTGTTTCTGTGCAGGTGCAAAGTACCCTTGCCCCCCGTTATCTTATCCCCAGTCTGTCACCTCTTCACTGTAGTGAGCCGAGCAGAGAGACCCCGGGTTACCTTCTTAAAGGATTTAAATGTGACTCAGTCAGGGTTCAACTATTAAACCTCCCAGTATGAGGAGAGGCACCACAGAGGGCCTCTTAGTGACCACAGAAATGTCATGAAATGCAATGCCAAACAGAGGCCTACTGGGCGAACATAGATGGGCAAACAGAAGGAGACCAGTCGACCAGACAAGAGAGATAGTGACTGGTACAACTGTTATTGTTTGATGATATGCCATTTTCCTTCTGTGGCGTATGGAAGGACACAACACACATTATTCTGATAAATCAATAATACATGAGCATAACTCATCGCAAAACAGCAAGAACCTGCTATTTGACCCCTGCATCACAGTTCATTGTTTCCTCCTATCCTGTTCCCTCTCAGCAGCTCTCCTACACTGAGGGGGCCCTCGGCAGCACGCAGAGGAGCTCCAGCCTCAGCAGGGCCCAGCGCCCGTGAATACGATGCCTCCTTCATCAGGGAAGTATCGTCACACACAGGAGATGTGGATTAGTGATGATTAGCAGGGATTATGGCTGGTTAATGGTGGGAAAATACATTAGGAACCATCGGCTCTGGGAGGGGGAAGGGGATTTCACTCACGCTAGCGGATTTGCATTGATCCACAGCAAATGAATGAGGATTAGCAGCATCAAGCTATCTGCCAACAGATAAATAACATTAAGCGTATTATACGCCAACGCCTGTTATTAATGACATTACAAACACTACAATGCTGGCAATTATGGAAATAATGGGAACGGCTGAATAATTTACTTGGTTGGGATTCTTATGATTTCAGATCATCCTCATGTACAGACACATGGGGTGATGGAGAGCCAATAAACTGGTAGGCAGAGGGATAAGCCCTTTGTAAGAATAACTTTTGAGTTGTCAGACAGCGAAACAACCCTTTGGCTGTGGTATATTCTCTAAGCGACGCTTGCAAAAGAACAAAAGTGCTCACTCAAAATCATCATGGAGACCCTTCTAATGGATAAACTGATTAATTATAAAGATTGGAACATCTGGATGAAAACATATAAACACATTTTCTTACTCCTCACTAACGCAACAAGTGTTCATCATTTAAGTCCATAACCTGGGATTGCCCTTATGAATCTCTAATGGCTGTCTATGAAGTGTTGAAAAAAAAAAAGTATACATAATTAAAAATGGCTTTTATACCCTGCTGCAACAGATGGCACACTTAGAAAATAGCACTTGAAAATGTTTTGTGCATTATTTAAACTGTGTAAATACTGTAAGTCAGTGCAGATTTAAAATACAGTTCTGCTTTCAATATATGCATCCTTTTCATTTTATTGCAGGTAATGTTAAAGCTCTTTTGGATCAATACAGAAATCAGTTTGAAAAGTATTCAATTGCATAGACAGGTCATCTACTCAATATACACCCTCTGCTTAGCCATATTACTCTGAAGGAGAAAGAAGTCCTCTATCCGACCCACATTTTGAACCCGACAGGTGAAGAGCCTGTAGCTTTCTTACTCTCTATTACTACGTCTTCCTCCAGCCGAGTTCTCGTCTCCTCTTTTTACCGTTTATGTAATAAATACTCCACTCCCACAGTGAGTGGCAGAGAAAGGGGGGGGGGGGGGGGGGGACTGGAAAAAGAA